AAGAAGTTCTGTGTGATAAAGGAACCTTCAAGACAGCACACTGGTCCAGGAAGGTCAGCTTCCCCTTGAGTGTCTCTCCAGAGTTGCCGCAGCCTCTTCCTCCTCCCGCTATGGTTTTTTTTGAGACAAGGTTTCTCGGTGTAGTGCCGGCTGTCCTAGAACTCGCTCTGTAGACCAGGCTGGCCTCGAACTCAGAGATCCACCCTGCTTCCCGAGTGTCGGGATTAAAGGCTGCCTGGCTCGCCAGTGCCTTCTCCTAAGTTTTACATTGTGCCAGCCAGCAAAGGAGAAATAAAGGGCCCATCTGTACTTTCACAGAAGGCGGTGATAAAGGGCGCTAGCACCTGGTACAGTTTAGTCCTTTGGTTACATGGCTTCCTTGTGAGCCTTTCCTACCCATCTGACCTCCCACGCAGCAGCAGAATAACCAGGCACCTGTCTACCTGTCCAGACTTATCCTTGCAAAGTTCTAATCCTGGCTAATCATGGTGGCACGGATCTGTAACCTCAGCATTTGAGAGGTAGAGGCTAGAGATCAAGAATTCAAGGTCAGGGCCGGGAGAGATGGCTCAGCAGTTGAGAGCACTTGCTGCTCTTCCGGAGGACCCGAGTTTGGTTCATCAGCTGGCTCACGATTGCCTGTAACCCAGGTTATGGAAAACCCACAAAAGTCCTGGTTTCTGCGTTTGTTCACATTTTTGGCCTGATTAACCAGTTCTGTTTTAACCCTGCTCACAGCCTGGAGAGCCTCAGCAGGTCCTCCACTACCTCACTTGGGAGCATGGAAATTCTAGGATCCCCTGGAGGGATTTCTCTCCCTTCTAGTCTGGTCTTCCTGGGTTCCTGCACACCAGCAGTGCTTACTGTTAGCACCAGTCATTCCAGACATTGTAGTAACTGTTTGCAGACAGTTGAGTCAATGGCCCCAGGGGCCCAAAAAAGCCAGGCAGATGTCTCACCTCCTTACAGACCCATTTTGAGGTCTGCTGGTAAAAGCTTTCTTTGGGGGATTAAGTGTGTCTCCAGTGAGTAGAAAGGTATGTGTGGGGAGGGGAGCAGGAGCCAGATGAATTGGGTAGAGAAGGGACTAAAGAGACTTTGCAATTGGCAAGTGTGGCCCGTTCTTGAGAGAAATACCCAGCTCTGGTTCAGGGGCCACCTCCTGAAGAGGGTCGGAGCTGCCACAGAACTCATCAGGGACCTTCAAGCTTGGTCACCCCGTAGTCCTTACTCAGACCATGGCAAGCCCATTTTGGTTGCCACAACACACAGCCTGAGGAGATGGTCTTTTGTGCCCCGCACTCCGCAACGGGAGCTCCTTTCTGGGAGTCAGTGGTGGCTCCTGTTGACTCCTGAGAACAATTCCAGCTCTTTCACGGCATCTATTTTGGGCATAGACCTTTTATTCTCTCTGCTTTAGGGGCTGTGTCATGGTAACCATTAGCGCAAGCAAAGGAGTGTATGATTCAGACTCATCCCCTCCCCTGTGGCTGCCATGGTGGCGGGAGGTGTAGCATGCTCGTGGATGCTTCTGATGGTGGAGCTGTGGTTTCTGGGGGGCCTGAGATCCTCCCATGATAACTCCTGAGTCAGCTGGGCTCGGAAGTGAGGACAGGATGGTAGGACTGTTGGTCTTCTGTGGGCAGCTGGTGGGCTGGGTGAAAGTGACGCTTCGGAAGGTGGGAATGGGACGATGATGTCGCCTTACCCAAAAGTGGAACCGAGACCTCCTCCGGTCCCTTCCACCCAGCCTCAGCCTTTTGACTCCTACCAGGCTTTGGTAGGAGGTGGGGGAACCCCTGATGTCCCACTCAGCTTTCTGCTTGCACCACTTGCGTGGATGATGGGGTGATGTGAGTGGGGGACAGGCCCACCCTCCACAGGAGTCCCCTCTACCTCTTTCCCACCTCAGATAGGAAACTCAGACATGTGGCCATTGTGCAGGAGCTAGGGTCCCCCCCCCCGGGTCACTGGCTTTGACACTGGGGTCTAGGCTTAGCATGCCCTGCTGGGTGCCTCCCTGTTTCCAGGGCTATGGAGTGGGCTGGACCTGGATCCGTGATCCTGCACCGGACTGTCACAGCTCCTTAGGATCCCTCCGTTCTTCTAAAACATGGAGAGCAACCGAACGTGCTTAGGTTTGTTAGAAGGACTGAGTGCAGCAGTTTACACACCCTTAAGCACAGTGCTTGTCATGTGACAGGCGCTCAGCAAAGAGCTGAATGAATAAATGAACTCCTCCATCGGGCGAAGCACTACAGTAGAAGATTGTGGTGTGTCCCACCGCCACCAGCCCCCAAACTGAACCAGGAGTAAGAGGGGCTGGAAACTGTTTCCTGGCCTATCTGTGCCCTAAGTGAATATAGCTGCAGAAGTCCTGAGCTAATTCCAAGAGATGGTGATGGACAGGACGGCCTTTGAGCCGTGGTCCTCTGACTATGACCTTGGGGCAGTTTGGGAACCTTCCCAGACTTCATTTTCCTCATCTGGGAAATGGGGATAAAAATAGTACTCACTCCAGATGGTGGGGGTGCTGTGTGAGAGTTAATGAGATGTTGACATCGTAAAGCTCTGTTCACAAGCGTGGCGTGGCGTGGCGTAGGAGCTTAATACACACAGCTTCTGGTTGAGCGACGTCCACTTGTGGGCACTCCAGGGATTTTGAGAAAGGAGAGAATCTGTGGGTGGATGAGTCAGACTAATAATTGTGAAGATTTATCGATGTTTTTCTCAGTGCCAGGCACTCTAGGAAACATTTTTAATTCATTACTTTTTCAGTCTCTCCCTAGTTGTGTGAGGCAAGTTCTGTTATTCCCTCTATTTACAGCTGAGGAACCTGGGGCCAACCTGATTCAAAGGAAAAAGGTCAAGGTGTGGACCAGCCTGGCTTCCTGGAGGGCTTCCCAGAGCTGGAGACCAACTCCTGAGTCAGGCTGCCTCCTATCGGCCTCCTCAGACTCACTCACACAGTACAGGAAGTTCCCTCATCTCAGGTGGGCCAGTACCCTGGCCAGACAACGCTTACCTTTGATTCCTTCTCTACATCCATTGGCTCTTTGTTCTGGGCCCTACTCATCCCATGCGGCCTCGAGACAGTGGCTGGCAACCCCCGACTCACTTTTGGCTTTTCTCATCGTTCTGTAGTATCAGTTAAAAAAAAAAAAAAAAAAAAAGTTCCAGGTAACGCCTCTGATTGGCTCTGTCGGGTCACATGGTCACTGCACCAGGGTGGGTGGGTGGGTGGGGGCAGAATGCAAGCATAATCCAAACCTTCAGAAATCCTCAGAAACACCGGGCGGTGGTGGCGCACGCCTTTAATCCCAGCACTCGGGAGGCAGAGGCAGGCGGATCTCTGTGAGTTCGAGGCCAGCCTGGACTACCAAGTGAGTTCCAGGAGAGGCACAAAGCTACACAGAGAAACCCTGTCTCGAAAAACCAAAAAAAAAAAATCTTCAGAAGACTGGAGCTGAGGCGGGAGGGACTTTGGGGTTCTGACATTGGGACTGTTTAGGTAGAACGAGGATTCCGGTCTGTGGGTGCGGATGGGGTTATTTTGGTAAGTGGGAGCACAGGAGGAGCTGAGACCTAAGGCATCCTTCTGAGCTGTTGAGGAGGTTGAGACTGGACAGGAAGGTGGAGATGGTGTTGGGGACAGTGGGTGCAGTGGGTGGGACCCAACTTGAGGCCCCAGAAGGAGCTGGATTGTGGGGCTTTGATCTGACGTGTGACCATGGTTGGGATGTGTTCAGCACTGACACCCCCAGTTTGGGAGTGACGAAAACGAGGTGATATCATGGGCTGGAGGACTGGATACTTCATGAAGGACAGGGTGCATGCTGGGAGGGAGGTAGCTGGTGACGGAACTGTGTAGGTGTGACAAGCTGAGGTTGGCTGCTCTGTGGGACGTGATGATTTCACCGAACAGCAGAAGGGGGATGGCTGTAGCTCCTCTCCTATTTCTGGAGGAGAGACCCGAGGCCACATTACCATCAGTGGCCGAGGTGGAGTTGAAGGCCTTTTCCCCAGGCCGGGTCCCTCCTGGTAAATCATCTCTCCTAACGGTAGTACATACAGAGGGTCTAGGAAGCAGAATACCAACGATGAGGCCAGTGGCCTTTGCCTGTTCCTCTGCCTTCTGAGAGGCAGCTACTATTGATCCTTTTGGATGTGTCTGCCAGCAATCTTTATTTACTTCTGCACATAATAATCCCTCTCTATAGATATTTTTCATTGATTTTCTGTTCAATAGATTCTCTTGAAACATTATTACATCTTATTTGTGTGTGTGTGTGTGTGTGTTGAGGGGGTACACACACCCTGGCATGTGTGTAGAGGTCATCTTGCAGGAGTCATTTTTCCCCCCCTCAATGATATTAAACTCGGGTCGTCAGGCTTGGCGGCAAGCCCCTTTATCCACTGAGTCACCCTAAATAGTTTGTAGTAGGCTTACTATTAACAATACCCTTCCAATAGTCACTCAGAAATGTCTGTGCTCATGTTCACATATGTAGATGTCTGCTTTAAACAGGCATAATAAAAATGGCCATGTTCTAATTCCCTGAACCTATGGATATGTTACCTCACATGATCAAAGGGACTTGGCAGATGTGATTAAATTAAAGACCTTGAAAATGGAGAGATTATCCTGGATTATCTGAATCCATCATTGTAACCACGGGGGCCCTTAGAAATGAACCATGAAGGCAGGAGTAGAGTGTCACAACATGATGAGAGGGACCGATGACCAGATAGCTTTGGAGATGGAAGGGGCTGTGAGCCCAGGAAAGGAGTCAACCTCTAGAGGCTGGGACAAGTGGGGAAGAAGATTCTCCCTAGACTCTGTAGGAAAGAATGCAGCCCTGCCAGCACCTTGACCTTAGCTTTAGTGGGGAACCACTGTGACTTCAAATGTGCAGGGTTGCCAGGTAAGAAATCTGTTCTTGTAGGCCGCTAATTTTGTGTTACATAAAATGTTCGTGCCATGTGTGTAGATGTGTGTGTGTGTGTGTGTGTGTGTGTGTGTGTGTGTGTAAGCACCTTTGTTAAACCAACATAACATTTGCATTATTGTGTCAATGTAACTTATTCACAGCTGAACCTAATGAGTTTCCTTTTTATTTTCCCTGTAGTTAGTGGTTGCCTTGTGTTTCGCTTGCCTTGTCTTTTTTCTTTCCTTTCTTCTTTCCTTCTCTCTCTCTCTCTCTCTCTCTCTCTCTCTCTCTCTCTCTCTCTCTCTTTCTCTCTCTTTCTGGTTTTAAGAGATGGAGTTTCTCTGTGTAGCCTTGGCCATCCTGGAACTGTCTCTGTAGACTAAGTTGGCCTCAAACTCAGAGATCCCCCTGCCTCTGCCTCCCGGTGCTGGGATTAAAGGCATGCGCCACCACCGCCCAGCTTGCCTTGTTTTCTTTGTGCCTGTTGCTAATTCCTTCTACACTCCTGATAACCTTCAGAATGGCTTTGCATCGAGACAGTCACAGTGGGTTGAAAATATCTCTGTCCACTTTTGGGGGTCTGTACTCATGCTGGATCCACTCGGCATGTGGCTGTGATGGTTGACATTCCTGATGTTCCTTTGTGGTGATCCTTGGAACTCTTTCTCTCTACCTGTGGGTTGTGACTGCTTTTGTGCCCTCCTCTTGCTCAGTTCACCCCCCTGGTTGGAGCATGTCCTCTAGGACAGGTGACTGAGTATCCAAATCCAGGCAGCACCTGGGTTCTGATTGTAGACTGGGGCCAGAAGATGTCCCCACCACTTGTCAGGTCCAGCAGCAGATGGCAGGGCCTGGCAGGCCTGAACCATGAGTCAGGGCGTCACTGCATAGACGCTTTTCAGCCTCACAACAAAGATCCCTTTCCCTCGTCTCATGTGCTGGATTATAGATATTATAATAGATTATAGATGTGCTGGATTATAGGTATTTTCCCAAGCTTCCTTCCAATAGAGTGTGAGACCTTGTGTGGCTGAAAGTGTCTTTATTCTAGTCTCACATTTATGTGACGACGTGACGGGGTAAAGCACCCTACCAGGAGAGGTGAGGTCTGTTTCCTTTTGTCCCCAGGCAGTATCTTACCACATAGTCTTGACTGACCTGAAATTTGCTGTATAGACCAGGCTGCCCTTAAACTCATAGCAAGCCTCCTGTCTCAGCCTCCCAAGTAGCTGGGATGACAGTTTCATGCATAATCATGTCCATCTTTTTTTTCTTTTAAACAAACCACTTCTATTAATTTTTTAATAGAAATTTTAATAAAAATATGAATTTTTCTACTATACGCAGGTTTTGGTGCACATTGTCAGGTATTTTTGCACGTGGGTGTACATGGGTACATGGTTTTGTGTGTGCGAGTGTGTATGTTTGAGTGTGCATGTGTGTATGAGTGTACACATGTGCATGCGTGTGTGTGTGTGTGTGTGTGTGTGTGTGTGTGTGTGTGTGTGTGTGTAACACTACTCTATCTGACCAGCGGGCTTCTGGTGGTTCTCTGGTCTCCATCTGCATCTTCTAGGATGTGAGTGAGTGGGGATTACAGACTTGTGTATTCCTGCACCTGCCCAGCTTTTTTGTGGATTCTTGGGATCTGAACTCCCTGCTGTGCCTGTACAACAAGTAGTTCCCCCTTCCCCCGCCGCCCCCACATACACACACACAGAGCCCCTCTCCTGCCTGCGCTGTGGTGTTTCAGTACTCCTGTGTAACATGCTCATCAGGTCAGGGTGTTAGCAGAGCCTCCCCTCAAAGATTAATCATTTCTTTGTGTTAGGAACAAACTCCTCTTCGTTGCTCTCCTGGGCTGCAGAGCATGAAAGTTACTCCTTCAGGAAGCTGGAGAGATGGCTCAGCAGTTGCAGAGGGCCTGAGTTCTGTTCCCGGGACCATAGTTGCCCTAGGATCCATTTCCTGGGGATACAGCGCCCCTCTCTGGCCTCTGAGGGAACCCACACATGTGACACACATAGTCACGCACATACAATACACATTAAAAAAAAGAACTTTTAAAAAAAGTTATTACATGTACCTAGCTGTGCCCTGTACCATTATTTCTTGGACCTAGCTGTGCCCCTGTACCATTATTTCTTGTACCTAGCTGTGCCCCTGTACCCATTAACCATCTTTTCTCACCTTCTCACATCTCTTCCCTTCCTCTGGTAACTGCCAGTCTATACTTTTTTCTGTGAGACCAACATGTAAAACAGCTTTCTCCCCCTCCTCTTCCCTGAGGCAGGGTCTCCCTCTGTAGCTCTGGCAGGCTTGGAACTTGCTCCGTAGACCAGACTGTCCTTAAACTCACAGATCTGCCTGTCTCTGCCTCCCAAATGCTGGGATAAAAGGCGTGCGCCACCATGCCTGGGCAAACTTTTACATGTAAATAAAGTCATGTGATATTTGTCTTCCCATGCCTGCTTTCTTTTTCTTTCTTTGTTTTTTTTTTTTTTGTTTTGTTTTGTTTTTGTTTGTTTTTGATACAGGATTTCTCCGTATCATAACAGCTCTGGCTGTCCTGGATCTCGCTCTGTAGACCAAGCTGGCCTTGAACTCACAGAGATCCACCTGTCTCTGCCTCCCAAATGCTAGGATTAAAGATGTGTGCCACCACTGCCCAGTGATTTATTTCCTAATCTAAGGTGCTCCCAGCCCTTCCCTGTGACTGCAAATGGCAATTTCATTGTTTTGTAACTGAACAATGCTTGGTTGGGCATACATCCCATCTTCTCTTTATTTGGTCGTCCGTTGGTGGATTCCCTATCACAAACAGCACCTCAGTAAATAAGTACAGATGTCTCTTTTGACATCTTTCAACTCTTTTGGATATGTGTTGGTATGATAGTGGGCTAGCGAGATCCTGGATCATACGATAAATCACTTTATTTCTAGTCAGCCACCGAGTTTTGTATTTCTACTACCATGATTTTGTATTTCTACAAGTTCCTTTTTTTTAAAAAGATGCATTTATGTTTTAGCGATGTGTGTGCCTGCATGCCTGTCTGTGTATGTGAATGTAGATACACAAGAAGCCAGAGGTGTCACATCCCCAGAAACTAGAGTTACAGGTGATTATAAGCCAGTTGATGTGAGTGCTGTGTAGGTGGGGTTTTCTGTCCTGCCAGCCTGCTCCCAAATAATCACACAGGGACTTATTATTAATTATAAATGCTTGGCCAATAGCTTAGGTTTGTTATTAACTAGCTCTTTCAACTTAAATCAACCATATTTCTTATCGACACTCTACCGCAGGGTGGTACCTTTTTCAGCATGGCATGTTCATCTCCTGTTTCCTCTGCATCTGGCTGGTGACTCCGCCCTTCTTCTTCCCAGCCTCTCTTTTTGTCCGCAAGTCCCGCCTAACCTCTACCTGCCTAGCTATTGGCCATTTAGCCTTTTATTAAACAATGAGAGCAGGGCTAGAGAAATGGCTCAGAGGTTAAAAGCACTGACTGTTCTTCCATAGGTCCTGAGTTCAATTCCCAGCAACCACATGGTGGCTCACAACCATCTGTAATGAGATCTGGTGCCCTCTTCTGGCAGGCAGGGATACATGCAGACAGGACACTATATATAGTGTATAATAAATAAATTTAAAAAGAAAAAAACAAAAAACAATGAGAGCAACAAATATTCACAGTGTACAGAAAGGTTGTTCCACAGCGTGCTGGGAGCTGGATTCTGTTCTTAAGAGCGGTGTGTACTCTTAACAGCTGTGCGTCTCTACAGCCCCCAGAAGTCCTTTCCTGTTCTCTAACTTTTCTTTTTCTGTAGCATCACATTCTTGTTTTGCGGCTATAAAAACATCTTCTCTGTATCTAACATTTGTTTCACCCACTTCCTGTTACCATCGTTGTGTTTTGTCCCAGTTGGTTTGATGTTATTTATTCTGGTCCCTATTTTCCAAGTCAGGTGCTTTCCTATAAAACATCTATTGGCCCTTGGTTGACCTTTCTAGATTAAGAGTGGGATTGCAGGAGGCAGAAGCAGGCAGAGCTCTGAGTTATAAGCCAGCCTAGTCTATGTAGCAAGTTCCAGGCCAGCCAGGGCTACATAGTGAGATCCTTTAAATAAATAAATAAATAAGCAATGAATGGGGGACTGGCCAGGTGTGATGGTTCATGCCTGAAATCACTGTTCACATGGTAGAAGCAGGAAAATCTTCAGTTTGAGGCCATCCTAGGCTACACAGAAAGTTCCAGGCCATCCTGGGCGCTATAATAAGATCCTATCTCAGAAAATAAAACAAACAAAAAACCAAAACAACAACTGAAACCAACTAACCCAGAGAAGTTGTTTGGAAGCTCTGAGCCTGAAGGCTCGTCAACCCTCAGATCCACACTGGTGGACCAGACAGGCAGTCCTGACCCCATCGTGGTGCTGATGTGAGTGCTGCATCCTTAGGCCTTTGCTCTAGAGGAGATCTGGGCCTGGCTGCCACGGTTTCCCAGTCCAGTGGGGGAAGAGCCTAAGAACTCACATCAGCACTGAAACGGACTGCCTGGCTGGGCTGTGGCACCTCTCCCTCAGCCATCTTGCCCTCCAGAGAACCTGAAGTTGTGACTTGAGGAGAAGCAGGTGTAGGGAGGGTTCTCGAGCCAGCCTCTTTATCCTCACACGTGTGTCCTCTTCAGTCTAGTCCCACAGGTGCCTGGTGCCGTGGAGACAAGTGTCTGTTAAGGACTGTGTGTTGAAATCAGCTTTTCTATGCCGGTCTTTGACTGTTACGTTGCTTCCCCAGTCTTGAAATGTTGTTGGTAATGTCTTTTCCCTTGTTCAGCCCATTCTTGTCAATTCACATCTTCTTTAAAAAAAAAAAAAAAATAAATCTGTCTGGAGGTTGAAGGTGGTACAATGTGGAGATTAGTTGGTATTGCAGCTCTCACGAGGCATGGTGGGCACAGACCTGTAATCTCCGCTTGTGGCAGGTGGAGGCAGGGGGATCAGGAGTTCAAGTTCTCAGCTGTATAGCAAGTGTGTGGGCAGCCCTGGTCTGTGAGACCCTCTCAGGAAACAAAAGTCAACCAAAGCAGCTGTCGGGTGGTTCAGTTAGTGGGGTTCTTGGCATGCACAAGGCCCTGGGGTCCATCCCAAGCACCACAGAGGTCAGGCACAGTGGACACCGTGATAAATCCCAGCCCGTGGAAGGCAGAGGCAGGAGGATCAGGAGTTCAAGGATGAGCATTTCCTCACTAAAGATGACTTTTATTTGTGCGTGTGTGTGTGTGTGTGTGTGTGTGTGTGTGTGTGTGTGTATGTGTATGTGTGCGAGCATGTACCATGTGTGTGCCAATGCCTGTGGAGGCCAGAAGAGGAAGTCAAATCGGGAGCTAGAGTTGCATGCTGTTTTGTGGTGGTTAGGAGCCGGGGCCCTCTGGAAGAGCAGCAAGGACTCTTAACCACTGAGCCATCTCTCCAGCCCTAAGGATGAACTATTTTTTTGTTTGTTTGTTTTCGAGACAGGGTTTCTCTGTGTAGCTTTGCGCCTTTCCTGGAACTTGCTCTGTAAACCAGGCTGGCCTCGAACTCACAGAGATCCGCCTGCCTCTGCCTCCACCTCCACCTCCTGAGTGCTGGGATTAAAGGCGTGAGCCACCACTGCCCAGCTCAGGGATGAACATTTTTATGCTGTTCTTACGCACATTATTCAGGGTCACTATGGACATGAAGAATTATTGAGGAGAAGATAAAAACATGGCTGGGCTTGTGACGAGGATTCCCGTTATGCAGCCTTGGCCTCGGTGAGGAGGATGCTGTAGGTGCTGGGGTCTGCTGGATCCTGAGGTGGGCTCTGTGCCTGCTGCCAGCTTGGGAGAGCGCTCCAGGAGCTCACTGCTCCCTGTAGCCAGGGTAGCTTGAGAGAAGAATGTGGCTCTCCAGAGCAGGTGGGCAATGCTATGCCCAGGCTTGGGACCTTGGCCACTGAGTGGAACCTTGTCTGGTCACATACTGATGATTTCAGGTAATGCTGAGCAGTTTTGAGGTCTCTGGACAAACACAAAGGGACCTAGGTTTGACCCAGGACCGCCGTTTTCCGTGACGACCTTTCATGAAGCTCACATGTCAGGGACGTGGGTGGCCCGAGACACATTCCTTCGTTTCCATGTCCTGGGTGCCCTCTGCCGCCCTGTTTTTCCTGCCCACTCAGGTCAGAGGCTCCTCTCCCAGAACCCCAATACAGGTTCCCCTGGGTCTCTCTGGACCGTGGTGCAGACGAATTCCCATTGCTTGCTCTGTGCCTGGTCTGTGTCCGTTGGCGGACACTTGAAGGTACCTCTCTGGCCTGCTGGCAGCCCCCTCCTGTTGCCTGTGAGACCCCAACTGTGGGGCAGGTGGAGCCAGGTGACATCCTGGGAATCAGCTGACCCAGTCAGGACCTTATCTGTTGGCTCTGGGTCCAACTTTTTTTTTCCCTACCAGCTGCGCCTCGGTGCTATCACCCACTTTTCAATCTTTGATGTGGGGTGATTGGAAATGACTGTGGTCACGAAGGGAGAGCTGGGATTTGGGAGGAATCATCGACCGATGGCAGCAGGGGGAGCCTCTTGGAAGACTGGGTTGGATCAGTTTTCCTCTTGTGCTGTGGAGAGCAGTTTCTGTGGGCTTGGGGATAAGGAGGACTTAGCTTCCAAGAGCACTCGGGGCCCCTCGGAGTTCAGTCATGAGATCTGGCTCACACCTCAGACATGTCCCAACTGTTTGAGCCCTAGCCTTAACGGTAAACTGAGAAAGTGTTTGAGCTTTCCAGAGGAGGTGCGGGGGTCCCTGTGTGGAGCCATGGAGCAGTCACTGCCTCAGGTATTTGGGCAGCCAGCCTTCACAGAACCCAGCACCTAGCCAAGCTTGGGGCTGTAGGGAGTAAGGTGCCTCCTACCTGGAGCGCCCCTAGATAGGGTGCCCCTGTTGGGCAGAGTCTCTTCAGCAGGCCTTGGTTTAACCTCGGAGGCCCTTTCTCTCCTGACTCTGCAATGGCCCCCTCCAGCTCCAGCTTCCTCCCTGCCGCTGCCAGTGCCAGATCCCAAACTGGGGCACCCACCTCCCAGGCTGTCACCTCCCTGGGGAAGGAACGGGGCCCATGGGCAACCCAAGCTAGGCAGTCTCCCGCTCCTGGTTTTCCAGGGAGCCCTGGCAGAGGGGGCTGGGAGGAAAGGCCCAACCGGGAGGGGAGCTGGGAAGCCGAACAGGGAACTGGAAGGGGAAGGGTGTGGGTGGGCTCCGATCCAGCCTACCTCCTACTCGCCCTCTGCTGCCAATCCCCTCCCGGGCAGGCACACACTCAAGGCAGGGGCTTGGTGCTGTCTCTGGGTAGGGGGAGCAGGGACCGCTGTGTGTCTCTGTCGGGGAGCGAAGGGGGTTGATCTGTGTCGCAGTAACACACCCACCCTGAGCTGTGGCCTGAGGCTCAGGCTTTGTTATTTCACTGGCTTGCGGCCCACACCTGGAGGAGGAAGAAAAACCCCTAGACTTACAGCTGCGCGTGTGCGTTGTTCGGAAGGGCTCAAGCCCACCAGTTCTGACGGCAAATGGGGCCAGGAGGGAGGCTTGCAGAGGGCGCCTTGCGTGCATGCCTGTTCAGTGAGGCCATGGCCTCGGGCCTCACCCCTGGTACCCAGAGAGTCCAGCACACCCTCATCCCAGCACAGCCTGGGTTAGGGCCGCAGCGTTGTTAGTTGGGGTGCCCGGTCCCGGGCAGGGCCCAGCAAAGTGACATTCATTTCACTACATCCTGCGGCTGCTGCTCACTTCCTCCTCCACTGGAGGAGCGGTGTGGGGGTGGGGGGTCGGGTGAGGACAGATTAGAAGGAAAATGTAGCTGTGCTGGGGGGCCTCTGGTGGTGGCTGGGGTTTCCCGGGGCCTGGCTCGGGTGGGAGGGAGGGTTGCGGAAGTGTTCAGAGGGAAGAAAAGCAGGGGAGGGGCAGGAGGCCTCTGGAAGTCCCAAAAGTGGCACACGCTATACTACACCTTTGAGTTCCTGAAAGGGATTGTCACAGCCTCCGGGCTCTCAGAGGAGGTGGAGGCTGCCTCAGTTTCTCCCACTCTGGTGTGCTGGCGAGACCGGGAGAAGAGAGGTCAGAGGCCAGGCTGGCCCTGGGCTGGAGACTAGTCCTGGGGGGGATTGTGCCCTGCTGACCAACTTCTCTTCCCCACAGGCAGAGCCACCCGAGGGCCAGCACTGAGGCAGCAGCACTCTTCCGAGGGCTTGACATCAAGATCTATGTGTAAGTTTTAACTCTTGCTCACGAAGACCGCAGTAACTCCGTCTCTGAAGGCCAGCAGCCCCCCCCCCCCCCCAGAGCCCTCGAAGCCCCAGACTGCCTCCTACTGCCCAGCTGCCAGCTATGCCCTCCAGCGGCCCCGGGGACACCAGCAGCTCCGCTCTGGAGCGGGAGGATGATCGGAAGGTAAGCAGCCCGCTTGGCTCTTCAGGAGACCCTATGGCTGGTATCCAGGGAGGGAGAGGGGCCTGTCGCCACCAGAGGGTAAATTCTGAGGTGACATAGGACTCTGAACCCAGGTAGTCTGGTTCCAGGACCTTCGTTCTAACCTCTGGGTCTTCGAGCACAGGCTCAAACTCTAGGCCCTGTAGCTTTGAAGGGTCCTGCTTGCAGGGGAGTCCCCAAAACCTGGATTTCTTTTTGGGTCTGCCCTGCGCTATCTGTGAGACGTCGGGTGAGCCGCTGCGCCTCTGCTGGAGCTGCCTCTGCTTCTCCCTGGTATTCGGTAGCTTTCTGGAGCACTCTAGAAGGGAGGTGAGGAGCCCACACAGACATTCACACACGTGGCTGTGTTCAGATGTTCAGGAGCAGGTGACATCATCGACCTTTGGAGATAATGATGTCACCACCCACCCAGGTTCCAAGAGTGAGTGTCACTGGGTAACTTTTGATGTGGCTCTCAGGCCATGGAACCAGTGACTGCTGTGTTTTCAGAGTCCCGTGAGAGGTGACTCCCCCCCCCCCCCGCCCCCTTTTACTGAACTCCAAGTCCGGATTAAGTTAGTAAAAGGAGATTTCATCAGATGGGTGGGAATCCCAAAAGTCACCTTGGAGTTGTGGCCACACACGCCAATGCTGGCCTCTGTGTCCACACTGTCGGTATGTGAACGTCACTGTCCTGCCTTTCTCAGCCACTGGGAGAGGTGCGAAGTCTGTTCTTCTGACAAGGGACGGCCACGTGGCTCAGGTGTGGGGCCCTTGAGTCCGCTGAGCAAGGGCAGCAGCCGGGAGCCCTCTTCACCCACACGTGGCTCCTTCCTGCCTCATCCATCCTTAATGTGCGTTTCTGTGTACTCAGTGTGTTCCGACCATTGTGCCTTTTGTCCTGGTGACAACCCTTGAAACACGTGAGGTTAAGGCAGGTGGCCCTGGTTTACAGAAGGGGATCCTAAGCTCAGTGGTAAGCCCAGATCGGGGGGTCTGGTCTCTTGCCTCCTGGATCTTACCTTCCCATAACCACCCACAGCCTTGATGTAGACAAGGGTCCCACCCCCAGGATACATAGGTGTACATACAGAAATTCCAGGGGCCCAGCCTGCAACCCTGCACAGTGCTCTGTGTGTGTGTGTGTGTGTGTGTGTGTGTGTGTGTGTGTGTGTGTGTGTGTTCGTGTGTATTGACAAGGTGGGAGTCATGTGTGCCCCTGGACTGGGTTCTTAAGCTCTCAGTTCACCCCCTTCCCCTTTTGGATATGGTCTCATGTAGCCCAGGCTGGCCTTAAATGCCCTATGTAGCAAAGGATAACCTTGAACTTCTGATCCTCCCAACTCCACCTCCTGAGTGCTGGGCCTGGCTTGTGCCGCCCCGACTGGCTTATGCAGTGTTCGAACCCAGCCTAGTGTGTGCTCGGCAAACACTGCTCACTGGGCTACATCCCCGGCCCTCCAGCCTCTCCCTTCTGATCCTGTGGGAAATGACTAGACAGCCTAAGTTCCCTGTAGGCCTTCTGAATTCTCTTGCTCTGAACTCCAGCAGTGCATAGACTCTGGCCGTAGTGGCTGAGGATGCTCACAGTCTCCTGAATTCCGCCAAGGCAGCTGTACTATAGCTAATGCCTTCCTTTCCCTGGGCCTGGCTCTGTTTCTCTGCTAGACTGGGTGACCCTGAGCCTCCTCTGCCCCGGCTCCATGCTCTGACGGACGCTGACACCCCTGCACATACACTTCAGATACCCCCACAGGTGGGCCAGGCTCCTGCACAGCAGCAAGGCAGGTGATCTCTGTATCGTGATAGTTCTGTGTGGAGCAGAGGAAGAAACGCTGTTCAAGGAGTCAGAAGTCCCAGGCCCCAGCCCTGGGGCTGCCATGTACGGGAGATGTGACTTCAGGCCATCGGGGCTTGTGTTTGCTCAGCTGGAAAATGGGGATAGTGACTCTCACCATGCCTGTCCTATTACAGGGCAGGTCTGTGGAAGTCAGATGAGGTCACGGGCAGGGAAGTGCCCTGCAGACAGCAAAGTCTGGTCCAATTATGAGGGATTACGATTGCTATTATTATCTACCCATAGTAACTCCGCTGGCTCGGGTGGTAACAAACACACACACCCAGCCCTAGATCCCGGGACTGATAGAGCGAGCATACTCACATGCTGGCAGGGCCCATTATACCAAAAGATGACAGCGATCTGGAGAGACAAAGGCTGGGGCCTGGCCTTTCTAACCACCTACTCCCACAGCACACAGGCTGGCTCACCTGGCACCCTTCCCTAGCACCCATGGACTGGCTCCAGCAGCACCCCAGAGCCACCTGGTAAAGGCAGGTAGGGACACTGACAGTTGCCATAATGGTCCTTAAAAGCCAGCCTGGGGCCCAGACATTGTGGAGCTGCCTGTGAGGGACATGGACTTTGCCTTCTAGTCGAAGAGCCTGCAGAGGTGCCACAGACATCTGGCACAATGGAGCCATCTGCTGAGCCTGAGGGAAGGGATGAGGCTCCTGCTGGCCCCTTTCATTCACCAGCCCCGCCTGCCTGTCTAGCCTTATCCCTGCCGCCTCCAGATACCATTTCAGCCCTGCCTGGGTTTAGGCCTTGTTTTGGCCTCCCCTGTCCTGCTGGCTACGTCCTTGATCGCCCTCCACTCTGGGAAAGCCCTAGCCGCACGCTCTCGTGGGTTCCAGTGTGCAGGAGACCAGTGTGACTCTCGGCTGTGACTCCCAAACCAACCACATCAGCATCCCCCTGCCAACGTGCGGGAACGGCAAGGTGCAAGCCCCTGCCTGACCTACAGAGTTGAGAGCTCTGGGGAAGGGACCCTGGGGGTCCGTCACCCGCAGCCCAGGAGGGTGGGGTCTATAACCCCTCTCTTGCACATGCTTCCCCGGGGTCTGCAGTGGCATGAAGTAAGAAGAATGCCATGGATAGGAGCCAAAAGGCATCAAACTCCACCAGGGAGCCCGGGGGCCAGGCAGGTGTGGCGTGCAGAGTTAGAACGACACTCCAAAGGGGCTGTGCTCGCCTCTGAGGGTACACAGAGGGGTCTGTGGAACTGAGCCCCATTCTTGCGTCCCGCCATCCATGAGCTGGGCGGGGGTTGCTGCTTGGGGAGGCTGAACGCAGATGGCTGGTGGGGGGATTGGGGGCAGTGCTTTGGTAAGTGAGTCTACAGCACAGGGTTGAGGCTCAGAGAGACAAGGAACTCTGGGAAATGTAAGTACGCGCCATCCCTATGGAGGGGAAGGGAGCAGGAACATTCAGGGGCTTCCTTCCTCAGACCCCCAAATACGAATTGGAGCCAGCCGGGATCTGGGCCCCAGGCTATATCCGTGACCTCCATGCCGCCCTTTCCTCTGGCTTCAGATACTTTGTGGCCAAGATGTGTTGAGCGTTGACTGCTTGCTAGACACTCTACAGTGCATTATTTTATTTCTTACAGTTGTCCCAAAGGCACTGATATTCTTACGATGCTCTCTTATTGAGGACTAAATGGAAGCTTGGAGATGCTAAGTCACTGGTCTGAAGTCTCCCCGGGTGCTGTTGGGGTCCTCCCAGGTGAAGGGGGTGGGGTGAACAGTGGCTTCCAGCTGTGCTGCCCTGAAGTGTTGCCCAGGCTTTCTCCTGCTGCAGATTCAAGGGTTGTTTATTTAGAATGAAAGTGGAGGTTTGTGGAGCTCTTCCCTTGTGGATGTCGAAGGCACTTCTGTGTGTGTGTGTGTGTGTGTGTGTGTGTGTGTGTGTGTGTATGTGTGTGTGTATGCATGCACACACAGAGTTAAATCTTCCTCATTGAAGACGCTACTGTGGGCATCTCACTTCTCTCCACCCCTCACCCTTTGGAAGCATTGTTCTTTTTCTAACCCTGTCTTTCTCCAGACTTCCCACCTTTCTCGGGGGGCCTCCCACACAGCTCAGTCCCACGGTCTGCAGGATGAACCAAATGGTCCTGGAGGGCTAGTGAAGGACTCGGGTAGAAGGGTAAGGCCATGCCACATCGGTCGGGCTGGTCCTTGGGCAGCTTACCCCTCCTGCCCTTCCTGTTGTGGGGTAGAGGAGACTGCAGGAGTGGAGATTTGTGCTGGAGAACTCCAAGGTATGTGTGTGCATGGTGTGTGTGTGTGTGTGTGTGCGTGTGCGTGTGCATGCGTGTGTGTGTGTGCGTGTGTGTGTGTGCATGGTGTGTGTGTGTGCGTGTGTGTGTGTGCATGGTGTGTGTGTGTGCGTGTGTGTGTGTGTGTGTGCATGGTGTGTGTGTGTGCGTATGTGTGTGTGTGCGCGCACGCGTGCGTGCGTGCGTGTGTGTGTGTGTGTGCATGGTGTGTGTGTGTGCGTATGTGTGTGTGTGCGCGCGCGCGCGTGTATGTGTGTGTGTGTGTGTGTGTGTGTGTGTGCGTGCATATCTGTAGACTAAGATTGGGGCTCTTTCCTTTCCTCCCTCCTTCAGGTCCAGCCCAGAGGCCTGGCAAGTACAGGTTTCCCTTGGCACTGAGCTCTTCCTCGGTGTGGCACACAGTTCAAGGGCATCCTTGGGTGAGGTCCCCGCCAGCCTCAAGTCCCGGTGCTTCGGTGCTTCGTTTGAAGGTCCGCAGGTCTGCAGGAGCACGGAGCCTTCTGAGGGCTCTGCCTTTATTGTACTCAGATTTCTCTCCATGCTCACTTAGGGCTGGCAGGTCATTAGGAGCTCCTCTGAAGAACATCCCCAGAGGAACCTTTATTTATTTATTTGTTTGTTTGTTTTTGGTGTTTTGCTTGCATGTATGTCTTTGTGAGAGCATTGGATCCCTTGGAACTGGAGTTACAGACAGCTGTGAGCTGCTATTATAGGTGCTGGGAATTGAACCCAGATCCTCTGGGAGAGCAGCTAGTGTTCTTAACCACTGAGCCATCTCTCCAGCCCCATTTATTTAAACATTTTAAAAATCATTTATTTTAAACCTCTGTGTGTGTGTGTGTGTGTGTGTGTGTGTGTGTG